GGGTGCTGCGCCGACTGGCCTACGCCTCTCGTAAGCCTCCCACCAACTGAAGGCAGCCCTAGAAAGTTGAAAAGTAGTGAACGAGACCCCATTGGCCTCTAGAATACCTGTTGTATGGAGTAGCCTCTGACATCTGTCCAAGAAACCCTATGCATCCTCTCCCTCGGTACCACTGAAAGATGGAGGTTGGAGTCTCCCAAACCTCTCCAATCTACACTGCTCATCCTCAGGCATAGCAGGAACCACATAGTCCTGAGCAGCTGCAATCGGCTGGGCTGGTGGTGCCCCCGGTGTCTAGAATCCATGTACCACCTGCTCTGGTGTGCGGGCAGCGGGAGTCTGAGTACCTCCCCCGGCCTGAGAAGTGGCTGATGCGACCGGAACAGAGACCGCCTGAGCAAGACTGATACACGTGGTCAGAATCTGAGCTAAGGCCTCCTAAAGGCCTGGAATCGGAATAGGCACAGGTGGTGCCTGAGCCGGTGCATCAACAACTGGAATCTGGTCCTGATCTGGGGCAACTGGTGGATCTGCAGGTACTGCCCCAGCTGTTGTACAGGCTGCGCCTCTGCTCCTACCGCGACCTAGGCCTCTCGCGGCCCTGGATGGTGGTACTGGTGGCTGTCCATCCTGCCCGGTAGTACGAGTCCTCACCTTCTGTGAGAGAATGGAACAACATATGTTTAGTTACTGGAATCAACAGATTCACACGACAGGAATTCAAGAAAGTGGAGTTTCCTAAGGGTTCTGTAGCCTCTCGAAGATAAGTACAAAAGTCTCCGTACCAATCCACAAGACTCTACTAAACCCGCTCATGACTCGTGAGACCTATGTAACCTAGGCTCTGATACCAACTTGTCACGACCCAAAACCTAACCCATCGTGATGGCGCCTATCGTAATACTAGGCAAGCCAACCTTTCCAAAACACTTTCAAAATTTAATAGAAATGAATTAAAACTTTTATAATAACTGGAGTTTTCATAAAAACGGGGGTAAAACCCAAATAAAACATAAGTGCAGAAAAATAGCCCAACATCGGGGTGTCACTAAGTCATGAGCATCTAATAACCAATCTAGAAAATAGAGTCTACTACAGTCTGTGCCAAATGCCAATACAAGAGAGATAAGATAACAAGAAAGGAGAAACAAGGACTGCAGACGCCGGCAACTACCTCGTAAGTCTCTGATAATCAGCCCGCGCACGAACTCAGCGACCGCTAGAACCGTACACACTTGGATCTGTACATGAAGTGTAGGGTATAGCATGAGTACAACCAACTCAGCAAGTAACAGAATTAAATAAGGAACTGAGAAACAGTGACGAACTATAATAATACAAATCATTTCAAAAGCTTTCAGTAAAGAGTGAACATGCTTTCAAATCCGGTGGTATAAGTCAAATTAGTTCGAGCTCAAGTAAAATAGATATGAATCTTCCAGAATTTCACAACGACATCAAATAGCAACTAAGTGCAACAATAAATAAAAGCAAGTACAACCTCTCAAGGCAGCAGTCATTCAACTCATCTCATCGGCTCATACTCTCAGCCCTCATTACACGCTTTCAATAGGTACCTGTGCTCACTAGGGGTGTACAGACTCCGGAGGGGCTCCTTCCAGCCCAAGCACTATATCGCTGCGGCGTGCAGCCCGGCCCAATCATATAAGTAGCCATAAGGCTCGTTGTGGCGTGCAACCCGATCCACAGTCCATAAGTAGCCATAAGGCTCGTTGCAGCGTGCAACCCGATCCATATACCCTCACATAGCTCACAACTCGGCACTCAGACCCTATCTTAGTCGCTAACCTCTCCAGCCCCTCGGGCTCACAGAATATCATAATAATCGGCCCAAACAGAGAATACAACAAATCTCAACAAGAAATGAGAGGGAATAGAGATATAACACACAAGTAAGACTGTGACTGTGTACAAGACAGCAATTAGCAGTCAAGTCAACAAGTATACGATCGTTGTGGGTCCCAACAGTGATGTCATATGGCCTAAGCATGATTTTGTAACATGAAAGGCAGTCAATTACTCAAAGACAAGGAAAAACAAGTAATAACAATGGCTATTCGACTTTACAGTCTCACGGGACGGACCAAGTCACAATCCCTCACGGTGCGCGCTCACACGCCCATCACCTAGCATATGCGTCACCTCCAAACTCTCACATCATACCAATCCTCGGGGTTTCATACCCTTAAAACCAGATTTAAAGCTGTTACTTACCTCAACCGCACAGAAATCCTACTCCGCAATGCCCTTGCCCCTCGAATCAATCTCCAAACGCCCTGAATCTAGCCACAAGCAGTACGATATAATTAATGTAGGCTAAAAGAATCAATTCTACAAGAGAAACACGAAATTATAAGTAAAAATTCGAAATAGGCTCAAACCGGCCCCCAGGCCCACGTCTCGAAATCCGACAAAAAGTTATAAAATATGAACACCTATCCACTCACGAGTCCAACCATACAAGAATTACTCGAATCCAACCTCGAATCACCTTCCAAAACTTGAAATTTTAGCCTATGAAGTTTTTACCATTTTCCTCTAAATTTACAACTCAAATCCCTAATTAGACGATGGAGAAAGCCATAGATTCACGAAATTTAGACCAATCCGGGTTGGAATTACTTACCCTAACGTTTTCCTTGAAAATTCTTGAAAAATTGCCTCTCTCCCGAGCTTCTCAAGTCCAAAAATCGAAAATGAAAGTCCAACACCCGAGCTGGTGTTTTTCTGCCTAGAAATACCACAACTGCGGTCCTCTTGTCGCTTCTGCGACACCGCACTTGCGAAAATTCCATCGTAGGTGCGGATTTCACTTTAAAATCCTGACCTCGCTCCTGCGGCCCCCGGGAATCCATCGCACCTGCAGCCATCCTTCGCACCTATGCCCAGTTGCCCGCATCTGTGACCCTCGCAGGTGCGGGAAATATCTTCGCACATGCGGCTCCTGCCTAGCTCCTTCTTGGGCGCATCTGCGACTCCTTATTCATTTCTGCGAACTCGCACCTGCGGTTCCCACTTCGCAGGTGCGATTACACCAGTAGGAGCAGCTTCAACTGGATTTTCTTAACTCCCATCAAGCCGTTAACCACCCGAAATCACCCCGAGGCCTCAGGGACCTCAACCGATCATACCAACAAGTCATGAAACCCAATGCGAGCTTAGTCGAACCTTCGAATCACTCAAGACAACATCAAAATACCAATTACACCCGGATTCAAGCCTAAAGAACTTCTAAACTTTCAACTTCTACAAACGACACCGAAACCTATCAAACCACGTCTCATTGACCTCAAATTTTACACGCAAGTCAAAAATGACACCACGAACCTATTCCAACTTCTGAAAATCCAATCCGACCCCGATATTAAAATTTTTCACTACCGACCAAAATCGCCAAAGTTCCAACTTTCGCCAATTCAAGCCTAATTCTACTGCGGACCTCCAAATCACATTCTGGACGCACTCCTAAGTTCAAAATCACCTAACGAAACCATAAAAATTTAAATCCGAGGTCGTTTTCCCTCAAGTCGACATTCGGTCGACTTTTCCAACTTAAGCTTCCAATTAAGAGACTAAGTGTCTCAATTTACTCCAAAACCACTCCGGACCCGAACTAACCAACCCGATAGGACATAATACAGTTGAAAACACAAAAGAAGCAGAAATGGAAAAACAGGGCTATAACTCTCGAAACGACCGACCTGGATCGTTACATATAGGCATGAGGCAGAGTAGCCTCCAAGAAAGTCTTATGGGCCATGGCTTGGTCTTTATGGATCGACCAAGTTAGGAGAAGATTATCTAAATGGGCTAGCCCGATAACGTTGGGCCTTTATTTAAATCAATTTGATTAGATTTAAATAATTAATCCAATATATATTAGCCCATAATATTTATTTGAACAAAAATATATTTAATTTGAGAATAAATCTAAAAAATTTATAGATTTGAATTTATTACAATTTTGCATGCCTACCCATACCACTTCATATTTATTGTAATCATAGGAGATCAACAATAGACAAAACTATTTATTTTACAAGATTATAATTGTAAATAATACTAAGTGTGATATTACGTACATCAGCTTTGGAGGTAATCACGCACATTAATAGGACATTACAAGATTGGGTAACCTGGAGTCCTGGACTTACTTATCCTTGACCTTTGCTCCTAAATTTGGGTAATCACGCAAATTAGTGGCTTTTTCATCATTATAAATAGGAATGTTTACATAAATAGCCAACGAACTTATTGTTTACTTTTCTAGCACTGTACATAAACTATTCATTGATTATATATTATTGTATGCATATTATACATATATTATATATTAGTCGGCTATATTTAGCTTAGGCGGTTAAATGGATTATTATTTAAATTAATTCTTCCCGTAAATAAACTTCAAAGTCAATTCCTTCCCCTTTCCCCCGTGAAGTCTTCTTGATGTATGACCCAAAGAGAATTGAGAAGGGCATAAAATGTCAAACGAAAGAGTGGGTCCAATCACCAATGTGGGAGTGGGAGGTAAATATAATTGTTCAAACTAGATGGGGGTCTTGTAACTATCATAAACAAGAGGGTGGATACAACAAATACGCAATTTCTCGGTTTGCCCCTCAACGCATTCCTCGGTTTGCGAGACAGAAACTGGATATTATTAGAGCCTAATTTGCGATAATAGGATAAAAAGAAAATAAAAAAGAATCAAGAAAAGGAAAAAGAAAGTGTTGATCAGAAAAAATACCTTTAGCCTCTTTTCTCTGCTGTATCTTTCAGGTAGGTATCTATCTGATCTCACCATTAAATTTCCACTAGACCCTGAATCTGAAGCAGAAAAAATCAATTGAAGTAGTTGCTGTAAGGTAAAAAGCTAAAGGGGTTTTAATCTTTAATCATTTTTCTCATTCTATTCCTTTGAAATTTGTTATATTTCCTTAGTCTATCAGTTTTTGGCTTTTGTGATGCTTCTTCTGATGACCCTTTTGAGCTGAAAATGACTCAATTTTCAAGAATTGAGGAATCCACTTGAAAAAGTATTAAAGATAGTGTTTTACGATACCCACAATGCTAATTTTCAAGACTCTTCCCTGATTAAAGTGGAAACACAAGAAAACTAAGGATGGGTGTTGTATTTGTAGCTCTTTAAAAGTTGGGAGCTTTTTGGGTATTTTCAAATATTTGTTTCTTAAATCCATTTTCCGTGAATTGTTCGTTAGATTGTTAATTTGTTTGTTTGTTTTGTTTTGTGTGTTTGTATGTGTGTCCTATGCCTTCAGTGTGACCTTAAGTCATTTAAACTTCTGAATAGGGAATTTATTTGGTCAGGACCTTACAATGTTTTTGAGTGTTAAATGGCAGCTCAGCGCACTAAGCTCCCGCTATGTGCGAGATCATGGGAATGGCCAGATCACATTTGGTCTAGTGGAATGGCCGGATCCCATTTTACTGTACACAACCTTACCTTGCTTATCTGCAAGGGTTGTTTCCAGGGCTTGAATATGTGACCTCCTAGTCATACGGTGGCAACTCTTACAAAGTTTGGTTTAAACATCGATGGAGATGGATTAATCAATGTCTGTGGACTTTTAGGGGTCATTTGGTTAAGTTCTGAGATATCCCATGGGATTATAGTTTTGGGATATCCCATTGGATTATCTATCCCACCTCCTATAGGGGATAGCTAATTGCACCATTTTGGTATAAAATCAGTATTAGCTGATACCCACAGCCAAACATGGGATAACTATAATCCCAAATTTTAAACCGGGATTAATATCCTTATCCTGGTAATCAAATAATGCTGCGATGCGTGCTCCAATATAAGTTAAGGAAAATAATTTACACTTACCATTTAAAAAAAGGTCAAGGAAGATATTTGTAAAACATCTTGCCATAGAGTTCCATGCACGCACGATTGCAAATTTTGTCAATGTTCTTTCAAACTGCCATTTTCCCCAACTGGTGTTTTGGGAAAGGTAGAACTTAGAAGCATTGGCAAAATACATTGCTCCTCTTTTGGGAAGGGAAATAGATGGGATTTCACAAGGTTCTTTGAAAGTGACATTAGGTGAATGAGAAGAGAGATTTATTGCTTTCTAATTTGTATACCATTGGCACTGCTTATGTATTTAAGCACCGTGCCAATTGGTAGTCAAATACTATATTTTCTTGCCTTTTAAAATTTTCTAGCATGGTATTGGATCTAGATAGTGTCAATCCAGATGGCTCTGCTAAAGCCTAAGGTGGTAGAGCTTTTACTTTGTTGATAAGTATATATAAGGGGAAAACAGATTAAGTGAAAATGAGCTGAGTCGGAATTCTTCTCTTAATTCATTGATGTTCGTATTTTCCTGTAAATCCTCGTTGTGCAAAATATTCATTTACTGCCTTATGGTCAAACTGCTGGATTACCTACTTTGCTATAGGGCTAATTCATTCTCTTCAGATCAGTTGGCTTGAGACGGGAAGAAGTGGCATGTCAATTATTCTTTGTTTGGTAAACCTGTGTTATTTGTGGAAAAGATTTGTATAACTTTGTGAGCCTTTTGCAGGTTATTCCATCAAGATGAAACCTGTTTGCCCTTTTGTTAGAGCTTCCAGACCTGATGACACTTCTACTAAGAAGCCTGGTGAAAACCAAAATAAACAGCCGGCTAGTCAGGAGAGCAAGCCTAAGCAAGAGTCTAGGGAATCTGCAATTGTGTCACCTAAATGCCCCTTTGGATATGGCCAGGAGAGCAAGCCTAAGCAAGAGTCTAGGGAATCTGCAATTGTGTCACCTAAATGCCCCTTTGGATATGGCCAGGAGAGCAAGCCTAAAGAAGCGTCTGGAGAATCTGCAGTTGTGTCACCTCAATGCCCCTTTGGATATGGCCAGGAGAACAAGGCTAAACAAGAGTCTGGAGAATCTGCAACTGTGTCACCTAAATGCCCCTTTGGATATGATTCTCAAGCATTTAAGCTGGGTCCTTTTAGCTGCATGATTTGTCAGGCACTTCTTTATGATTGCAGCAGATGTGTGCCCTGTTCTCATGTATTCTGCAAGTAAGTGAAAATTGAGGCCTCTTACTATCTTTCTACTTCCATGCATGCATGTCATTTCCCTCTTTAAAATCAAGAAAGGGAATTTTTTTTATCTGGTCACTTTTCAATACTGCTGCCTGATGGTTATTGTTTGGTAAAACAGAGCATGTCTCTTGCGCTTTAAGGACTGTCCTTTATGTGGGGCTGATATCGAAAAGATAGAGAGTGATATGAATCTTCAGAATGTTGTTGATCGCTTTATTGAAGGGCATGCGAGGATTAAGAGGTCTCAGGTTAATGGTGACGAAAAAGAAGCAGAAGAGAGAAAAACTGTTATGTACGAGGATGTATCACTAGAACGGGGAGCTTTCCTGGTGCAACAAGCCATGCGGGTAACTTTTAAATATCTTGTCATTCTCTAGAGTGAAATAGCTTGACATTTCTTCACCAGTTACTAAGCTGATATTATCCTGTTGTTTCTCTTTCCTGCAAGCTCTGACGTTTAGCTAGTGAATTGTTTCACCACTTCGGGTAACTGTTGGCTTTTTAACCTGCAGGCTTTTCGTGCCAAAAATATCGACAGTGCAAAATCAAGACTTACTATGTGCGCAGATGATATTCGAGGACAGCTAGAAAGGCTGGGAAATACATCCGAGTTGTGCTCACAGCTTGGAGCGGTCCTTGGTATGCTTGGTGATTGCTGGTGTGTCCTTATCCTCGTTATCAACTTTACCCTTTCTTTGGTCATTTAACAAGATCTTCTAGTGATCATGGGTAGCAAAGCTTTAACCGTTCTTTAGAAGTTTTGCACTTTAAAAAGAAAAGTAACTTGAGTTGTACTGCAGTCGAGCAACAGGGGATGCTGCATCTGCAGTCACTTACTTTGAAGAGAGTGTCAATTTCCTTGTGAAAGTGCCCAAAGATGATTTAGAGGTAATTGTCGTGAATTGATATGTACTTTTATCCGTATATGTAATCTGAGCTCTCTAACTCTAAAGCATGATGATAGATCATATACTTCCTCATACATGACTGTTTTCCTTAATTCCTTGCGGATGTTTGCAGATCACACATACTCTTTCTGTTTCGCTTAATAAAATTGGAGATCTTAAGTACTATGATGATGATTTAGAAGCTGCAAGATCACATTACTTTAAGGCGTTGGATGTTCGCCGCAATGCCATCAAACAACAGTCTGCACCATCTCAGGTTAGCAAAACTTTTTGTTTTGATGAGCACAGCCAAACAATAATGTGATTTTGGAAGTGTATTTATTTGTCAAAGAACCTGTATGACGTGGGATATCACAAATAATCATATTATGCCCCACAAAATGTGGCATCTTTAGACATCTGAAGTTTCTTTAGGCATCTTTTCAATTCTTTACATCTAGTGGTCTTCCCGTTGAAGTATTGAACAACCCCACCTCTTTCTGCATATATTTGGTCGTTGAGCTGTTACCGGCTGAAGGTTTCTGGTGCTGAGAGGGGAATGACCACGATATGTCTTTTCTGATTCTTTTTTATTTTTTTTTATTTTAAAGGTTAAAAGGGGAAATAACTGTAAATTGTGAGGTTGCTGTTCGAGCTATGTATGAGCTATTGCTGTCTGAAGTTTGGGGAGTGTGGGGTCGATGATGCATTTTTGTTCTTTTGAGCAGAAGGGCAAGATGGTTGCCCAGATCTGAAATTCATGTGAAAGCTCTGCATGAGCTGTGTGTGGCTCAGGCCCTGCTGGTGCTGGTGGTAGATGTACATAAATCATCTCTGATGGTTGTCTCAGTTGGAGACATGCAGTTGGACCTTGATAACACGACGGCTCTTTCTTTGCCAGAGGACCTAAAAGAACTTCAATTATCATTTATCAGTAAAAGAACTTCATTTATGTGCTCTCTTGCAGGTGGCAATTGATGATAATTATATCTGGATAACATGGTTTTGCTACTGTTAAATGAAGTTTCACGCATTTGATATTGATTGGGATTAGTCAAGTATTAGTAGCAGCACTAAGAACAACAAAATCTCGCACTTATTCATTCACCGATAAGTATATAATCTGACTAGAAAGCCTTAGCAGACATGAATCTGATATAAATATAATTATAATAACTAAATGTTCATCTGAATTAGTTGGCATTGTCTATACGAACTCATAGGTCCCATTACGTTTTTTTATTAGCTAATTCCGCATTGACTCCGAGAGGTTGCAGGTCTTTTAGGTAACTTCCATTAGGGGAAGAAAACGTAGAGAATGGGAGGTTGCACCGCTAGTTCTTTTGTGGGTATTATGGAAGAGAAATAGGAGAATATTTGATGAGGTTGAAAACGATTTTGTACATTTGAGGAATAGCCTTTTGTCTTTAATTGCTTTTTGGTGCGCCCTTAAGATTCCTGTTTTATGGATGACTGGGTGTCTTTTGTAGAGAGTCATATTTTGTTGTAGGTTCTCTATCATTTGGTATACCTCTGGTATACGGGAGTTCTTCCCAATGTCAATAAAATTATTACCTTATTTTAAAAAGAAATTCCATTAGTGTCATTTTAGGTCTGCTTCATCCCCTTTTAGCACCTTCAGTCATCATAGTGTAGCACCTATGGAGCGGTGCATTTCGACATAACCATCTCAATCTTCTCTTGCTTTTTCCCCTGTTTGTGTTATTTGGGATCTTTGGATATGATCATTTATAGTCGTTCAATATTTTTTAACCGCTCATCCATCTTAATATCCCCATTTTTGCGAAACTCATTATGTAGATATGTTTGTCTTTAGTGACCCAACAATTAGCTCCTATATGACGTTAGTAATCTCAGAATTGTTCTAACTTCTACAAGACGTACTTTTTACTTTGTTAGCTGCCACCCCCTACTTCATTGCATCTTGTAGCAGTCCTCCATTTTAGCATGTCATTTTAATTTGCTTATTTACATCTTCATCTCTCATGCTTTTTTTTTTTTTTTTTTTTTT